AATTAGGCATAGTCACCTCACGGTCGTCCCCATTTTGTGACAACCAGGTTTCATTTGGAGATATTATATTTGGACCTAGTTCGCAGAGGTGGATCTTCAGCTCACCGAGATCCAAAAACATGCTCTGCGCATTGGTGAACATGAAATTTAGTTTGCGTTTGCCCGACGTGTATTTACGATAGGCCTCCACCCTCCCGTTAATGGGTGGAGGGTTGCTGTGAATAACCTAATTTCGTTCCCCTTAGCTGACCCTCGTTGCATTCAAAAAAGACCTTTTTATAATGGCAGCCTATTAAGTCACTGTTTTTTACCATTGGTCCTTTCAAAAAAGACCTAAATTACGAGTTCGTAAACAGTGAATTAATAAACAACTATCTTGGGTCATTGGATTGGCAGGGCTTTCTCTCGTGTCAGGGTTTTTCGTGTCGTCATGCCGGATGTTTCGGAAAATATCCTAGAATTTGTACCTCTTAGATATCTTTTATCTAACACTTCGGAATCCCTTATTCCTCACTTTCTTTATAACAGAATAAAAGGTTGACAACGCAGCTGCGTGACTCCTCTACAAGTGTTTTGCTCCAAACATCTCAGAATCACAAACATGCTTGAAAGGTCATAAAAGAGGCGTTAAACGTGAGATAAGCAAAGAGGCTCACCTGCTCTGACTGATCCTCACCCTACCGAATCCGTTGGTAAAATCATCCGGCCTCAGCCCTTCTCTAAACATGGTTACGAAATTCCCCCTTTATTACATGACAATGCAACCTTCGTCATCGATAAGACCAGCAAGGCTGAATTTTGTAGTGGAGTCCTTTCGGAACATTTAACTACGACAGTACATTCCCAATCTCAGGAAGTATCAACCAACCTTCTAAAATGTGTTTTGGACTCGAACATATTACTTAAGTATGGTTTTTATATTGATTCCCATCCAGCTTCATCTTAATATATTTCAATCACGTCAGGATACCGGCTTTTCAACGAGTTTCTTTTTAACTACCCGCAAAAAAGATGTTATTTAATAAATAGTTTCTCATTGATCTCCACTGTTATTATAAACTCAAATATATATTATAGAAAAAATGCACAAAAGTATTCTTTCTTTTACTCGTTTGGTAGCAAATTACGCTTTCTTCAAATCTTATTCTGTAATAAAGTTCGTTTTCAAAATTTTGTTTCTTATGATACTTGTTGTGACCATGAAATATGTATTCATATACCAATGTATCTGTCCATTTCTCAATGCTCCTTATAACTTATAAAACTTGGTCCACATCCATTGCGTCAGTTTTTGAGAACTATATGCCTTCTTCTTCGCACCATAGGGAAATGCTTGGCTGTCTTGAGGAAGACTGTATGCAGCACGTAATTTGGAGGCCTTACATTCATTTGTAATGACCTGTAGGGTTCAAAGATATTCGACTATTTAGAAACTTTTTAAAACCAAAATATACTACGTTTTAAGTATAAAATTTGAAGAAGGCGTAGGTCGCCAACAGACAGGTAAATGAAAGAATATCTTCATGCGTTTTTTCTGTAAAATATAAGGGCATTGAAAATTAATAAGAAAATACATACTAATTAAGTAGCCATTTTTTCACAATAGACTTTTTGCGGGTTGTCAAAAAGATGCTCGTTGAAAAGCCGGCCTCCTGAGATGACTGAAATAAACTGAGATTATGTTGCATGGAAATCAGTATTGCAACCAAACTTAACTAGCATATTCGAATCGAGAGCACGTTTCAGAATTTGAGTTGCCCGTTCATGAGTTATATCTCATTCCCTATAGGGAATCAATGCCGGAACTAGTTCCCTCCTTTTGCCCGCTTTCAGCTCTAACAATCAATATAATTGATGGCTTCAGAAACCTTATTCAGTACTATCGAAACTCACACCGTTCAGGATCAGACAGTGCCCCAAATTCCATTGTCAAACAGATATCATACCTCCCTAGGTTGGATACTCAATTGTCCTTAGATTATATTTTGAGTAGCTTTTTGCCCGGAAACCTGGACGTCTCCAATAATCCTTCCAGTTTTCAAATATGGATCTCGATTCGATGCAAGAACTACTGGAGAATGCATAAACTCCGACTATAGCAAAACGTTTTGCAAATATACTTTTTGAAAAAATTCTTGATTTCTGCCTAGCTAATCAGCTCCTCACCTTTACACAGCGTATTCCTTACCTGAAGGATCGTGCGGAACTTATTGGACCAGTTTTACATGGCTTCTTCTCTCGTTTGCGCATGCATTGGTTGACAAAATTGCGCTGGTAACCATTTTCTCTCAGTACCCGTCGAACATCCTGTAATTCAGCAACTTTTTCTCCCGCTTCGCTGGTCTAAACGTTTGGCGAGCTCTTCCGTATGTGAAGAATGTATCGGAAGCGGTCAGC